ATTGCGATCCCATCTCTTTGTCTATATATTTCATTGTTGAAACTGAACTGGACATTAAAGGTACAACGTAACAATAATTCTTTTAAGTGTTCAGTTGGAATACCTAGAACTATGTTGTTGGAGTCTATATACTCACAAATATAACATATAGTTTCCGTTAACGGTACACTAGTGAATAAAGAATTAACATCAAGTGAGAACATGTGTTTTCCGAAAGTATTAACATCCTTAATACGATCAATAAATTGAAAAGTATCATGAATAGAATATTTAGATACTTGCCTTCTAACTGGTTCCAATTTTTCAGCTAACCATTGGGCTATTCGGTGGTATGGTGAACTTGACATGTCTAAAATAGGTCGTAATGGTAAACCTGCTTTATGTACTTTCGGTAGTCCGTATAAGCGTGGGATGATTGAACCCATTGGGCGAATGTGATCATATAAATCCTGGGTAATTATCTCTTTATTTTTAAGGTTTTTAACAACATCCGTTAGCTGTTTTTCAATCTGCAGTGTTTTATCACCTTCTCCTTTAGGTTTAGAGAATTTAGTGACATCGTTTAAGATTAATCTCATTTTTTTCCAAATATTCTTGGCGGTCAAGTAAGACTACACCAGCTCCTTTGTCAGGTTTACTTAGTATTAAATCCTTATTTCTTCTCAGGAGCATTAGTTGATCCAGATGGTTCTTAGTTAATAAGTTGTTCTTACCACATTGTATATTAACATATCCATGACTACAGTCCAGTAATGTGGATTTAAAATGCTGAAGATTTTGTGGGGATGTCGGCACAAGATCATGAGTTTGGTTTGATAGATTTTCGAATTGAATTTGTGCATAAAGTCTGTTGGTTTTGGAGGTGCTATTACAGAATTTAGGACCCAATGATAAGGCCTGCATTTGGATAGCCGAAAGTTTAATAGACGAATGATTAAATTCAACAATGAAATATATAGACAAAGAGATGGGATCGCAATGGGATCTCCTTTAGGTCCAATTCTAGCAGACTGCTTCATGGCAAAACTAGAAAACGATCAACTCAGTTCAATGATAAGTCGATTTCAACTATACGTAAGATACATGGACGACACATTTGTCGTTTGTGACGATAATATTGATTTGGACAATATCTTACACTTCTTCAACTCATGCCACCCTTCCATAGACTTTACATTAGAAAGAGAGAGAGACCAATCAATCTCTTTTCTTGATGTACATCTATTGAGAAGGAGCAATGGTTTTTTAAAAAGATCTATCTTTAGAAAGCAAACATGGAACGGTCAACTAACCAACTTCTACAGCTGGGTTCCATTAATTAGAAAGAGAAACTTGATTCATTCTTTATGCTATCGTATACATCGGATATGTAGTACAGAATGCATCAACGAAGAACTAGCGTTCCTCAAAAAAACTTTGTTGAAAAATGGCTACCCAGACCGGTTCATAGAAAAGAATATGAACAGAAGTAGCGTCGGTAAGAATCCTAGTTATTCAGTGCCAAAGAAAAGCCTTTATATAAGTCTGGAATTTAAAGGTGATCGAACATCAGACATAATTAAAAATCGTTTAACAACAACGATTAAAAGGACATTTAACGCTGCAAAACTACGAATAACCTTCACCAGTAAGAACTTAATTTCTGTATCCATAAAAGATAAGCTTCCGCGTTTGGTCGCCTCCATGTGCATCTACCAGTTCACCTGCTCTTGTGGAGCGAGGTACATCGGCCGTAGCCAGCGCTCGCTTTCAACCCGGATACGAGAACATATACCAGCTTGGTTCTACAATGGTGGAAAGAAAGCAGTTCGAAGTTCTATACTCGAACACCTAATCGACTGTAATCATTCGACGAATCCATAGTCTGATTTTAAGGTTGTTTATATGATTCGTTCAAATCTACCAAGATTTCTTCGGATCAAACTTTTAAAAATAGCCGAAGCTCTTACCATCCATGAGCTCAAACCAGAACTATGCGTACAAAAGAAGTACGTTTTATCATTATCGTTACCATGGCCTTAATATTATTATTATTATTATCATTCTTTTATTATTATTATTACTCCATTCCCCCTTTACTTATGTTTTATATTCTCATTATTTTATTCATGAATACTCATCACCTTATTTATTTATTTATTTATTTTACACCTCTATGACCTTTAATGACCTTTAATTATTGTAACCAAAACATTTTATCCGTCTTACTATATTCACTAAATCTATTGTTGTTATTCATATTACGTAATCCAGTATTATAATCTTGGTTATTAGTGTTCACATTTCCTCACGGAATTAGTACTTTAACAAAACATTTTCATATATATATATATACGATTGTACAGCTTGATAATAAATTCGTTGAAAAGAGATCCCTTCGCTGAAATCTGTGTTTTAATTTTAATGTTTAAATGGGAATTATATACCAATTACTGAAAATCATATGCAATAGTCAGAATGTGAAGGTTTGCAGTACGGAAGTCTACTACCATTACAATGCCCTACGTTTTCTACATATTTTTGTTCCAAAATTTCGCTGTACCAGTGTTACGAATAGGACATATTCTCGCCAAAACACGTAAAATAGTATGCCAAACTCTTATCTTATAACACACACTTTGGATAACTTTAATATCCCTTTCAGAACCCCATTTACCAACGTGCACAAAATTAGTTGCCTTCAAGTCAACTAGATCATGGAAATGAAGATGGCCATACCAATCTTTAGGATTTATTATTATGAACTTAGGGTTTCTTGTATTCATAGTGTGCAAACATAGCCGACATAGTTACCTTTTCATTATGAATGGCAAAATGTAACGCACTTTATAACAACCATGACATCCACTGAATAAGACTGTCACACTGCACTAACTTTTCAGCATAGTGTGAGGAGAGAAACCAAGGAGAGTTATTAATATAGAGGGACTCTGTAACTTTGAAATAATCAGGTCCATCTTGCTACAAGAGTATTGAAGACGTTCGGCTGATTAAAACCCTTATATTGAATGTTAATAATTTTGCTTTCGTTTTACTCAACTTCTGAACTTGTTTGTTTATATCATTATTTTCGGGCATTATCATTATTTTGGTTTCTCTTTGTCTTTGGTTTGATATTTGAGAGATTGTGCTTCAGAAACCTGCGAAATTGTAGGTTTGTTTTGTAATAATCGTAAGTATTATTAGAACGACATTTGAGTCGACTATTTGTAAATTGCGAATAAACTTTGGTGCCTAAATTGGAGCTTGGTTCTATTGTTACTTGTGTTCTTAGGTTGCAAACAGACCGACGTACCGTACTTCAATAACGGAAGAGATCAAAAACTTGAACGTAAAAAAGATCTGTTTTCAAGTAGGATTTCACAGGTGGACCATTCTCGAATTCGCAGTCAGTAAGACTTGGGTGATATATCTACAAATGTGACCAGTGAGATAAGATTAGTTAGAGGTACTGATCGGTATGACAAGATAGAACACCTAGGTTTAGAATCAGTGCGTTGGACAGGTGAGAGAGGTGACATCCGGATTCATCAAGCTTAAAATTGATGTATTTGAATTCCTTGATTTACAAAGAGGCATTTGACAATTTCGGTCGTAACAAAAGATTTTGATAACAGTAAATCTAGAAGGAAACTGATAAACTGGAAAACTAACCAGTAAGTAAGAAAATGTATTATATTAAATATCAAACTTGTTCCAGAAATAAGATGTTGGGTTGCAGAATAACGAAACCAAACCCAAAAATTAGAAAATACGACTTCATGAACTTCGAAGGTATAATTAAACGTTTAAATAGAAACTAGACAACATGATACTATTTCGGCAAGTTCGGTAACCGTGTATCGTCTACCAGTTTCGTCTTCTGAAATTAGTATGATCACCGACAAGTCCTGACATCATGTAACTTGTCAGTTTTGTAGCCGTAAATAATTCCCCGAAATCAATAGCTCTGTAAAAGTTTGACATTGGATGTTGACCATATAAGTTTGGATGAACTCACCTAGCTGAGAGCACTCGATCATGCATCCGCACTCGGTCACGAGTGAGAACGCCACGCTCAACTTCTCCTGCGATCGCTAGCCCGTTTAGTTCAGTCACTTCTCCATATGTTGATAACCTATCAAATATATCTTCAAACCTCCTCGCTTCTGACTTTTGATTTCACGGGGTGAGTAAGATTCAATTATAGGTGTTGCTGGTCAAAGTGTTGTCGAACTGCAATACACGTGGCTTCTTCAGGCTGATACAGACTTCAAGAGTTGATTACACAGAGTGAAACTTGTGTGCCACATATGTTTTACTAGTTCTTCGCTTTTAAACTCGCACTCCATGTTCTCTCAGTTACCCTTGTCTTGGAGGAAAAAAGAACATATTGGTTCCGAAAACACTTTCCAGTATTTTATACGTCAAAATTAGAGCGCTTTTTAACTAAGACGGAGTAAATAGTTCTAATTTCTTTGGTTGCTTTTCATCAGATAACCATCAGAATTGTGACATCGCACGAGTATCTGGCCTTCGTACTTCTGCATAGTATCCTAATCACATTGTTACCAGGTTTTTTTTTATCCTGAACGCATTTTCAAGTATGGATATGCGATTATGTATTCCGTAGTGAACATACTTATGCCCAACTTCCTAAATGCCCGTTTCAAAAGTCGAAAAGTTCTGAGCCTTTTAACTGCAACCACACGAAAGTGAGCCATGGTCTTAGGATTGTAGTTCCTTGTTACCTCCAGATCATTGTGAGACAAGACTGCAGGCACCGACCCCTTTACAATCTTGTGACTATTTGCCTTTATATCTCCAGTACGCTTGAAGAAACATTTTTTCGCGTCGATAGGCATCAGCTGCATTTTAGACTAGCTAACTAGAACATCTAATTCAGCCTTAAGTGAACATGCATTTTCATCTGTTATTTCTCGAAAACTTTTGGCGTCATCAGAATATAAAGAATTGGAGACCTAATAATCTTCTCTGAAAATTGCAGTCGTAGTATCAAACAATCATTCAGTGGATGAAAAGAAAAGTGGTCGAAAGTATGGAGAGGACAAACCTATTGAACACTTTAAAACACTGCGAACGCATTGCTGTTCAAAATCGGGGTCACATGGGTTTAAGTTGTTGATTGGCTCACGTCAAGGTCGCTCTTTGGTCCATCGGCTTGTGGTGAAGCAGCTAGATTATCTATAAAGTTCTATTATTGCCATACCGATGGAGTAAGTATTTTCATTTATAGCTAATATACCTACTATGTGAACTTATAACAGACACATTTGAGCGTTCAGCGTCTTAAAAAAATTTAGGTTGAACTTTTCACGTGTTTTATTTCAGATCCACTGGTTAGTCCACACAGTTTCAAATGGTTGTAAACAGAATCAAGTAAAATCATTATGGTGATTTTTGGAGATTAGTATTTTCACACTTGAATTCACGAGTTGAACTAAGCTAAATCTCCATTCAATTACTTCGCTGGACAAGCTCCCGTATTTCTTTTAGTAGTGGATCAGTGATGACTCTTATATATATGAATACAACCCAATATAAAAAGTGTTAGTAAATAACTCCGAAGAAAATATAAGCTTTTCTCAGGTGTTTTGCGGCGTTACTTGGGCCACTTTAAACGGTAGGGAATTCTAAGTAACGTGCATGCTTAAAATTCAACCAGTGCTTAGCTCTTACCTTGTTATTAGGACTGAACCTAAGTGTGTTCAGAAAGGTTGCCTTCAGTGTCCTTAAGGTTATAAGTCGTTATTAAGTCGCCTTTAAGCTTCCTATATCCTGACCCGTATGGCTTTCTTTCAGTCGCTGATTTCGGGATATAAACCTGATACCACGAACTGCTTCTGTGATTCATTTCAGGACTTCTTTTCAGTGCATTGTTCTTATCCTCTTCACATTAGTAAGAACGACTGTTCACATACTTAATGAAGTATGGGAATCCCTGCCGTCAAACTAATCAAAAATGCATTTCGTAGTTACCTGTATTATGTTGACTCAAGAAGCAATTCCATCACACCTGACATGTTTTGCATTGCAGAGGATCGGTGCGTATAAATATTTTTTCACTAATGACAATAACTTCAAACTGTGTTTTTCGCATCGTGCTGCACACAGACCAGTTTACACTCTTCAGAATTAGAAGTTGATCCGTTGTTCAGTTTTGAAATCGAGTTTGCGTTAACCTACCCTTCTGGGCATATACTTCTGTCTGAAGTTTTAAATCGCAAGAAGAAAGTATTTCAGAGGGTTTTTCATGTAAGTTAACAGGGCAGAACCCCTAACACTTGATCTCACTAAGATATTCCACAACTCTGAAGTTAGTAATAATTGTTTTTGTCCAGCTATTCATCGCTCCCATCAGACCTTTTGATTCAGCGGCGCCAGTCCAAACTAGAATAACTTCATAGATTCCTACTAAACTACTACCTAGGCTATTCTTGGTTTGATTTGCGGGTTAGCTCTGGTGCGTCAATTTCATTGGTTGTTGGGTCATTAGGACCTAATACTTGAGTGACACTGGGTCTGGCTTATCGAAAGGAAAACACATAATTAATCAAGCCTTTTGGGCTAAAGGTAGACCTGTCAATTAGCTTAACATGGTACTTGTGTCTCTCTTCTCTTACTTTATATTTAGTTCGTTCCCACGAGGATCAAATAAGAATAAGATATTTAGGTAAGAAAACCTCGTTTACAAAATTTTTAGTAGTCACTTTATTTTTTTGACACACACCATTATACTCATACAGTAAATATCTTAACCCAACATTACCTACGTTGACGCGTAGTCGGCTGAATTAGAAATAGATAGGAAATAAACTATTAGGTGAATCAAGACACGATATCAGTCCACTAAGTTATTGACTATTCAACTGATTCTCGTTAGTAGGCACAGACTACTTGGTCGAGGTCCAAACGATAACTAGTTGGAGATTAGGTGAAATGGCTCAGAATCAGTCACAGTAGAGCAAATTCATTCTGTCTTTATCTCCCACCAGGCTTTGAACTTCAGTATTATTTCGTACGTCGTATTCCTCATACTCTTCCCTCGTTTTCAAACTGTATTACCCAATGTTTAGCCTCCCTTTTTATCATTGATACTACAATTATTTCAACTCTTGGTATTCATTTCGTTAATTTAACCTTGCCTCAACGGTTTTGTATGACAACTCGTTGTGATGCACATCTGTTCCCGACTGCATGTTAATCATGACTGACTGGAATTACTCAAGCCGATAATCCATTTCTTTAGAGATTTGATGTTTTAATTTTATGCATTTTTGTCACTTGTCAACCACTTTTGTGTATTGAGCCTAACATATATAAGATCAAAGAGAGATACCCTGTTAGCTTCATGTTATCCATGTTATGTTACAGATGGCTAATAATGTTGTAAATAAACATGCTTACAACTCCACTGCTTCATCAAGCCACATGCAACACTTATGCAGTGCATTGGTCAGCCTTATTTTACTGAGTTAATGGTAGATCAACGTCACCTGGCTTAGTATCACTCAGTCATACGCAACTTGGAACCTGGGACATGTGTACATCGATCCAAGTTGCCTTATACCATTAACACAACGAGACGAAATTATTAGGACAAATTCCAGAATAGTCATTGTGTTAACAATACTAGTCTGCAGTTGGGGTCCGCGTGACTATCGTAACCAATGGTTGGAGACTCTAGGTGACATGGCTCAGAATCAATCACAATGGCGTAGGTGTATGCACTCTTTATCTTCCCTTAAACCTTAAGATTAAAATTGCTTCATAACGTTCTTCCTTCCTATACTATATCTTAATATACAACCTATCTTTTATATACTGCCACCACTAAATTAACTATTTCTATGAATCCGGTGTTGATCTTGTTGTGCTAACGAGTTATGGCAACTTGGACCGATGCATAAATGTGCCTGGTCCTACGTTGTAGCTGACTGACTGACAGACATCAACCCACCAAGGCTAATGAGACTTCCAAGGTAAATCAAGTGATCATTTCTTTCAACCACTTTACTCTCTATCAGAAGTTGAAGCGTTGACCTAGACCAACCCTGAAACAATATTTTGCATTTAGATAAAGGGAAATATCCCAAACATACCAGCTTTGTTGCTTAATTGTATTTTTCAGCGTCTTCATCAAGCAAACATCATCTGTATATTCTAAGTCAATAAAAGCATCCCTTGGTAGGATATCGACTTCTGATAAATCAGATTATAGTTGTCTCCTCTAAAAGAATGTCCGTGGCGAAGATAAAAATGAGGAAAGCAGACAACCCTGACTAACACAACTTAAACTTATCAACTCCGATGGCAGCTCTTAGTATTCTCTGACAATCAGTAATGTTCAGGTAAAGAACCTGTACATGGTCAATATACTTGGCAGACCCTCCAGTGACACATGAAACTTGTCAGTCTGCCGAGTCCAACGACACCTTTTAGTCTAGAAATACAACCATGGTTGGTAGTTGGCAGGCATATATTTGTTCAAGGACCTGGTGAATGGCTAATATTTGGCCTACAGATTCACGTCCAGGTCTGAAACCAGCCTGATTTTCCCGAGTACACTCTTCATTACCCGTAGTTAGGCGTTGGATGATTATTGAGGCTTTGGATTCTATATTAACGAAAATAGTTTCTCCATGGTTATCACGAGGACTTTCGTGCTTTCTTATAAACTATAACAACCAGAGATTACGTTTTGGCCTTTAAACTCTAGCTAGTATCTCAATCTAACAGCTAAAACGACTACCATCCTTGAAGATCTCAGAATTTAATCTATTAGGGCTTGTTGCTCTTCGTTCTAAATCAGCACATGGTATTTTGTACTTCATTAATGGTCGGGGTGCATCCTATTTAGGTTACTTCATAATAGTAAAGAACTGAAGGGTAATTGGAGAGCAGTTCAACTGTTCTTCAGTGTTCCATCTGTCGTTCCAGACTACTGTGCTGAGAGCGGATCATGGTCTCATCCTTTTCATAATTAGTCTTAAACTTTTAATGGCTGTTACTTTGATGTCTAAAAAGTTGTCTACTGTTACCCATCGCCACCACTTTTTCCAATGCTTTTGCCTTAGCTGCTCACGATCATTGTGTAGACTTTTTTAGATGTACGTTCAAGTTTAATTTTCCCCTCATCATATTCGTACTGACTGGATGAGTTTCCAAGCATCAGTTCAGTAGAAGCTACTAAAATCCACTAATTTTCCCTAGCATTTTGTTTGTAGTGACTCGTGGATATCATTACCATTTTCGCAACTGTTCGAGTATCATGTCAACCCTATTATTATATTACCTGAGAAAATAACTGGGTTAGGGGAGTGTTTATGAAATTCTGGGAGCGTAACTTCAAAGACAAAGGCATGATTACTTGTAACCGGTCACAAATGGCGTTTCTGTGAGAATTTCGTAATGTGTTAGCTCCGCGCTTCAAAAGGCTTTACATCTGGAGATTGAAATCTGTGTTACTCGGTCTTCCTCTTTTCCTTTCGCCCTGAAGATCCCAAGTTGGAGCTTGGTTTGTGCTACAGTTTGATTTTCCTAATGTGTCCTACCCACCCCAGGCGTTTTTTCCCTATTTCTCTTCATCTGGAAGCTGGTTCGTTCAGTTCTTCACTATTTATTTGAAGTTCCCCAATAATTACCCTTCAACTTATTTTCTCTCATTTTATTTATTAATTTATTTGTTTCAGAGATTCAAGTTTTGAAGATGAATCTGGTGATGAACATGATGGTTATGATCCTGTTCGTAGTCGGATAGTGGATAATCAAAATGTAGCATATAAACCTAGATATGTTCCCTCTGAAGCTGATGAAGTAAGTTATAAATATTCCAAATGATCATTCTTAGAATTCGGGCTCTGACGATCTAAGTGACGATCTGGAAGTTCACTTATCTTATTCTCATAATCCTCCACGTTCTCCAGTTGATTCTCCAAGTGCGCATTCGATCGTTAAGTCTGAACAAAATCATTTTTCGGGGAATCTGGATTACGATAGGGAATATCACGTTGAACCTGTTGTGGATGTCACTACCCCAGGTTATGCCCCAAGCCAAGCTTTAACTCCCGAATCCAGCCCTGCTTTGAGTTATTCCGGAAGTGAACATGCATCAGACGTAGATCTAACTAGGAAGACTGATCCAGATATACCTAGTAAAGTTCATGAAGACGTTGAAGTTGAACATGAGAGCAACAGTGACTCAGAGTCTGTAAACGATAAAGACCAGGAAGAGTTTCATCAACAAGAAGCCGATAAAACCCAAGTGAATTCTGTAGAGGAATATCCCACAACCAAGCATAATTCTCCTATCGAGTCACTCCAGTATAATGATTTCCCTGACATTTTTCAAGATCATGATGATGATCAAGAACAAGGTAAATTAAATGAAGACTTCGAAGGTTTTGAGAGAGATGAACAACCAGAATCTCAAGTAGATGGCATCATAGCAGATATATTTGGCGAAAGTGATGCAGAAGAAGAATTTGAGGGCTTCGCCGAAAATGAACTTGACAAAGGTATTGAAGAGGAGGTTGAAATTCAAACATCTAGTGAGTTAGTAACAAAAAAAGGTCCCCTTACGACAGCTGGAGAAAACGAAGATGATGAAGAGTCTGAACACGATGATGAGTTTGTTTCCGACTTCGACCGGATAATGGAAAAAAAGAAAGAGGAATCACGACGAAGGCGTAGACGTAATAGGGATATTGAGTTCCTTAATGATAGTGATGATTTGATTGTTGAAACTATTTCTCGAATGAAAAGTGCTGCCGATGAAGACAGACAGTTACTTACAGCTAGTCGACCAGCGACTAAGAAACTGAACATGCTCAAAGAAGTACTAGCTATTCTTAGGCGAGCTGACCTAAAATCCGCCTTAATAGAAAATGGGATGCTTTCTGCTATAACTGAGTGGCTATCCCCTTTACCTGGCCATACACTCCCGAATCTCGTTATTCGTGACTCTATGTTGACTAGTCTCAGTGAGTTTCAGTCATTGTCGTCTGAAGTTCTTCAAGAATCCGGCATTGGAAAAGCCTTGATGTATTTGTATAAACACCCGAGAGAAACTCGAGAAAACAAGGATCGAGCTGGAAGACTTATCAGTGAGTAGTTTTGTTGAATGTTCATGACTATCTTAAACTCCATTTAAGTATCAGCAGTTGCATTAAGTCACAGCAACAGTATATACTAATCATTATACAAATCTGAATGGCTTTTTTAATGTGTAATATCCTTTTGCTCGTGTTTTGACAATGTCGCTCAAACCATTCAACCACACCTAATGAAATGTCGGTTAAATAAGAGCTTAACGTTTTCTGACCAGGCTAAAGATTCACAAAATTAGTGCAACATATTCATGGCCTGATAAATAGAATGAAACCAGTTACTTATTAGTCCTATTTCCAACAACCAGACTGCGGGTTTTTATCTTGTTCGAACAACAAGGTAGTATGACTGACCTTTACAAAAACACTAATTCCAAACGCCAGTACGAAATTGTTTGTTTGGTCACATTACAATTTCCCGGTAATAAATGTAGGGATGTCTGTTAAGATATTATTATTATTATTATTATTATTATTATTATTATTATTATTATTATTATTATTACTTATATGCTTGATATTCAACAAAAATTGTGCAACTGTGAGACATCGGTATGTTAACAAATGAAAATAAAGTTCACAAAATTAATAATGATTAATTACTTCTACCTGCTGTAAAAACCTTACGAGAAGAATACTTTTCATTGGAAAACAGCCTTTACACCAAGTGTAGTCAGTGGCATGGACATCATGGTCAGTCATTACTTAGTAGCGAAACGTCACGAAGGGAGGATAAATGTAGCACTGGTTTCTACTTAATGTCATGTGGTTTTTGCAGACTAATCACGATGCTTCTCTTATTGTTGATCTTTGAACTTTGTTTCATATTTCTATGTGTATGATCTGGTGCTTCATTGTAGATGAATGGCTCCGACCCATATTCAACTTGACTAGTGACTATCGAACTCTCACTAAAGAAGAACGTAAACAGCTGGATTATGAACATTTACCTAAGCGGAGAAATATCGAGTAAGTTCTATTTCCATGGTCAGAACAGTGCGTAGTATGGAATTTAAATCCTTGTTCACTATATCTTGATGTCAATACTACTTAGATTAATTTATAATTGTATAGTACAGAAATACTGACTGCTGTTTAACAACTTGACCCTGTTATTAGCAAATGAGATGTCTTTTTATTTTCAGATTTATGATGGAAATCTACATGTTAAATGTAGAATTTATTTGATAGTTGATAATATTCTTCTTGGTTGGTATTCCGAAACATTCACTTGTCTCATCTAAGATATATTTTGACGATAAAATAATGTAGTTATAAAGTGTTGTCTTTCTGTGTTATAATTTTATCAAAACAATTTATCAGATCCTGTTTTATTCAGTAACTAAAAACGTCAAATAAATAATCAAAACAGTATTGTCATTCATAGTGTGTCTAGTAAATTGACACACTAATGATAAAAATGTTCACTATTCAGATGTCATGCAGATTCTATTACTTATGTTACGAACTGAAGATTATATAGAACAATCTTGTTTATGAATTTTGTCAACATCTAGTTCTCTCGTAGCATAAAGTTTAAAAAATGAAGTTTGATATTGTTATCATAAGACGACACATGGTCTTCAGAATAATGAAATCAATAAATTTCAAAGCTATTCAGTGAAATACTTTGGGAATTTCGTAATTTTCAACGTACAAAAGCATGCTTATCTTGTCTATTTCTGTATCTAATTTTTTCACAAGGGTATTATAAATCGGCCATGTCTTTTGTATTTTTATCTGGTTAGTCAGTCAGTCATGAGCAAAGTAAAACCAGTTTATCTGCTGTTAGATTAACTATAAATGAATTTATATTGACGCATATGCATGGTAACTGGCTGAGATTTAATTTTTCATATCATTTGTATAAAGAACCTCACACTACCAGAATAATCAATTTAATATCAGAGTTCAATGATTGAGATTAGTAATGTATGGGAAATTTACTTTCAATACTACTAATACATCAGTTGTCTGTATTAAATTCCATATAATTATTCGTACTGAGTATATTTCATTTTCTCCTTACTTTTGTTAATGTTTACTCTACTAACACCATCATACATGGTTGATTATTTTATTATTAAATCTGGCATTTATTTTATAAGATACCATAAGATATCCAAAGAAAACCGTTTTGTATTACGACTAACTATCGAATGTGTATAATATAAATATATCCCTACCAGAATTATAAGTGACTATGAACAAATTTCACTTAATTATAGAATGTTTAATTAATAGTTGTTTTTTATCAGGATTTAAAATCAATCTAATCAGTAAACTGATTAAACATGAATTATTCAGAATTTAGGTTTCCAGTATATCAGCATTGATTTTTGAGAAGATATTCCTCAAAAGCTTAGAACTATGGTTGTACTGATCGCTTGTTCTATCATTGGTTAGGATGAACGAACGATTATTTCGTTACACCAAGTTTTCGATGAAAATGAATTTTAATTTTATATATTATCTTTATGTAAAACGTTAAATAGTGTAGAATATTAAACTTCACTTGTCTTATTTAATTACAGCAACGAAGCCTACAACCATCGTGACATTAACCGTGAATTGGATGGTGAAGCCAAAGGGTAAGAAGAATTCTTCATTAGTAATGTTGGTATTATCATTCCTCTACCATTACATTTTACCTTCACTCAATTATATTTCAAATGAGTTGTTCTAAAACTGTAAAGATCACTGCTAGTTTTTCTGATTTTGATTTAATCTATTTCTCCTCTTACGCAGTAGCAAAAGTTACTTATATTGTTGGTAAGCAGCAGTATTCAGTTAGCTTGTGAAATCAATCTTGATTGACATCATGTTGACTCGTAGTTACTGATTAACTAAGTAATCTTGTATATTCATTATGTTCTTTCATTCATCAGTGTGTTTGTCATGATAGTCTTGTCGGATAATCGTCTACAATCTTTACATCGTTCAGATAAGCGACTGCTAAAAAGCTCCAAAATTTGTTATGAGTAGGAACATAACGCCCAACTTACCATGTATTCATTACCGTTCTGTTCAAAAATTAAATTACACTACGTTTAGATATTAATCAGGGTAAATAAGACCAATAATGCTTAAAGTATTTGTCAAAATAATATAAAACAAGTAAATCAAAAGAAATACACTGGCGTATCAAGTAGAAAAATAACTGAATTGTGTAAATACTACTCAGTTATAGCGAGTAGTTTAATACAATACAAAGACGGAATTATTGCATCATGTAAAATTGGTGACTCAAATACACTGCAACAGTAATAACAATTAATCTCTTTACATCTTCACCGTTCATTATTTAAAGCATGTAACCAAACCTAAGGAATTGACTGGTAAAAACTGAATACTTTTAGTTTCATTAACCAATTTACAATCCAAGTCTAAAATCAAAATGTTATTTAAGCTTCACATACTTCCAATGGCTTTTTGATTGTATCATAGCGTTCTTTAATTATTCACCATCACCTAAAAGTATAACTGTATATTGACCAGTCACACTCTAATTCTTTTGCTTTCATCGTATTTAATGCTGTAGTTCAGTTGTTTTAATAGTTAAAGGGAAGTTGATGTCTCCGTTTCACCTACTTCAATTTGGGCAGCTGGCTGGTATCACTAGCCTTCACACAAAATATGACTCAAAATTGAGCGTATGGATTTTTACTTCTTAAATGAGTGACATCACCATATCTGGTGTACGTTGTGTTGGAAGTAAAATGATGGATAATCCGGGTTTATCAAGAAGAAAAACAATATAGAGTAGTACTAATAAAGAATTCCCAAATAGAAGTGAAAGGAGAAACATCCCATGACTACAACTAATCAATAATTTGAAACGTATTACACATGGATAGAAAGCGTGAAAATAAATTGTGCAATAAAAAGGGAATGGGGTTTCTTCTCATAGGTCATTTGGATAACTTGTCCAAGGATTCAGAAAACCTGATGAATGATCTGAAGATTTGCTCTTTATAGTGAGTATTAGAATCAAAATAGACCCTTCCGTGATTGTACTTAGTAACTTTAGTTATACAAGGACCTTGTATACTTGATTTATAATATACACATATAAGACCTCTTTACTGCAATCATAATTTTAGTATCAACTTTGGGGATTTGTGAAGATTGTAGTATTTTCAAAGTTGAATTCACGAATCAATCTAAGCTAGACCATCATTGCAAACCTATAAGCTTTGAACGTCCGTTTCGTCCCAATATGGAACCCCTCAACATTTCGCATCCACGATCTCGCACGCAGGTCTTGAACCCAGTACCCTTGGTCTCGGTGACCAGTGGATTCCAATCTTTGTCGGGTGTGAGGCAGTGATCTACCTCAGACAATGGATGAAGGGTTGCACAAGATCATGGATCGGTCGAAGTTAGACATTAACACTGGTTCAGTGGTCTAGAGGTTATGCGTGTGCGTGAGAGACCGAAGGTCCTTGGTTCGAGCCCCGCGCGTAAGATCGTGGATGCACACTGAAAATTTCCATACTAGGACGAAACGGCCTTCGAGTGCTTCCAGGTTTTCAATAATAGTTTAACATTGGTCTATTCATTATCTCAATTAAAACTCAACAATCTCCACCACCCTATGCTTATAAAGATCTATTTAATGAATCAATAATAACCCTCCACGAAGTCTACATTAAACTGACTAAAAGGCTCTAAACCGGGCTACAACAAAACAATACACCAATAAATTGCTAATTACACATTTCCAATCCTAGACGTACGGTAAAGAATAATGCAGATAATAATGTTACACTGTATAATCACTCATTTTGATAGCAATAATTATTCGTTGTTTCTTCTGTAGTCTATATTTATTTCTGCTTATGTAGGATACTTTTAAATCCTAAATTAGTTTTAAAGAGGTCGTATTCGTGAAGAATTCTGACCTCAATGTTCAGTTAATGGTAATTATTATATTTAATTGTTTTACACTTTATAATTTAAAATATTATCTGTGGAATCGTTATGAGTAGCCTTGTACTTGTCTCGAAATTTTTCGACCTTTTTACTGCCAGTCGTCTTGTTTCTTTAATATCTTTAAGACAAACCTTGTTTACGGTGAATATTTCTGATTTATTGTTTTATGATTATAGACTTTTGAGGCCTGGCGATCCTGGATGGGTTAATAGGGCCCGAGTTCCTCAACCGTCAAATAAAGATTACATTGTCCGACCGAAATGGCGTGTTCGAGAGAATGCTACTGGGGATGATAATGACGAAGAAGGAAATGATGATCAGACAGAACAATCTCAATCAATTTCTCGAAAGCACCGAAAATCACGAACATCTGGTTTCGGAGCTACTTCACGAATTGAAAGTCATATTCGAAATTTAAGTAATAGTGCTCGTAAAAGTCATGCCAAAGCTGCTCGTGCAGTTCCAATGAGTATTGAAGGTCGTAATATGTCATTGTGATTAGTATTTAGTGTCAAATGTTCTTATTTTAATTATCGACTTCCTTTAATTATTCCGCATCTTACTGTACAGTATATTTTGTGTTTTTTGTTTTGCTTACTTGTCCCATGGTATGAAAATTTGGGCTAGTTTCCGTTTGTATATTATATTATGAAATAAGCTGAAAATACCATATTCATTGTTTTTATTTTCAAATATTTTTCCATTATGAACATTGGGAATATAGAGAAATATTGTCTTCTTTACAAAACACTACATATTTCTCATATGAGATTCATGAATTTATTATTGTATGTTGGTGTATATTCAGTTGCAGTGGATACAAAGTGATTGGTCGTTTTTTTCATATTTTTAACTTTTTCTGTCGTACAATGTAAGCTTTTGTAGTCATCATCATTTCAAACTTTATTTGTACCTAAAACCTATATATACTATGTAAGAAGGATTCATTAAATCACTGATAATTATAATATCACTTATCACCCTGTCTTCATTACATATAGAAATAAATTAAATCTATTTAGATATGATGGTAAACACTTTGAAGCTAACTTTGATTAAGACTAATTTGTTTTTTAAAGTTTTTGCTCTTATGACATATGGAATAGCTGATCTGTAAATATCATACGATGAACTTATGTAGCTTCTGTCTACGTAAAGGAGCCCAATAACAGAAAAGATCTTAAAGGATCTCAGTTATAAATGAATAATGACGAATGATTGGAAGTGGTTGTATGAATAAAAAATTGACATTTAAAGTCTTTGTTTTGTGAAATTTCGATTCTTTCTACAACATGGTCTGGATGATTTTACTGGTTAAATCTATACTACTGTTCCACTATTCGGTAAAGGTTTTTTACATTGTAGTTTTAACTTATTGGAACAAGTTTATAAATCATTCTCCACAGTTATAGTTTGTGTTGTCTCGTGATGTTGATGTGATGCAAAAAGTACTAATGGTAGTGATGATTGCATATATCTCGGATCTGTGCATCATCAGTCCAAATGTATATTTCTTCTGTCATCCTAATCCAGACGATCATATCAGTTAGATAAATAAAAAACGATATAGGATCTCTCTTAATATTGTATTGTAGCAAATATGTCATCAAGTCATATCCAAAAATAGTCATCATATGATCCCTTTTCTTGCAATATGATGAATGTATGATAGTATTTTTACTCTTTTCAATCATATCGCGGACTATGCGCTTCCGATATGCTTTGATAACTAGTCATCAGTGGGTGTTATAAGCTCTTCATGCGATGTAACTAAGGTATACAAGATAAAAACAATTGTTTTTGTAAGAACAACAACTATCCCTTATAAGCAAATATGGATAGTGGCTAGTAGTGGAGTCCAGAACGCGTGTTTCGTCCTATTTGGGACTCGTCAGCTGGGTGTTCACTCCAGTCGACGAATCCCAAATGGAACGAGACGCGTGTCCTGGACTCCACTACTAGCCACTATCCTTCCTTGCTTATAATGCTTGTGAATTAAGGCTATATCGAGGCAATGCGCACGGTATGCACATATGTCAATAAGAGACTGATCAATTGCAGTCCTAAACATCAATAGGAACATTCAAACAAACAATACCAAGTGAATTTAGACAACAATCCCTGTTGTCCTAAATTTGATTAATGAATGTATATAACAATAGCACAAGGTCTACATGAAAGGTATGTATGTCTATAATTGGTGACAGGGTTACATTATTGAGAATTAGTCATATCGATGTACTTGGATATTTCCAAAGATCCCCACTGCAGCATATTGAATAAAAAATACCTTAAACGTAAACCTTTATACGCTTTTGATATGACGGGATGGGAAGCCAAAATTATGTTTCGAACTCATTATGACTCTTTTTCAACATTAATTCCGTTTTTAATTCAGTACGATGGTTATTCACTGTAATATTTGTCTTACGGTGTGTTGTTTTACTCACTATAAATTGCTTTATTTCAGTGTGTTGGTTATTCAAGATACAATGTTTTTTGTATTAAAGTAACGTGAACTATGCTCATCATAATATGCAGCATGTGATTTGTCGTAACTCTGGGTATTTTTCATATATGTGATTTCATCTTAAATAATAATCAAAATAGGTATACAATCAATATATAAATGAGTGCATTTCCAACTAGGGTCATCACTTTTCAGAGTTAATAAATCTTCAATTGTACTAGTCTAAGTGTTCTTGCTTTGCATCATGGAAATTATGGTAAATTCTCGTTTTTCAAATATAAGTGTTAGGCAAGGTGGACATAATTTCACAGCTAAGTTACAATTTTTACCGTTCACAAAATCGATTATTTTCCTACGCCTGTTGCCTTTCGTAGGATATATGCCCCTGGCCAGAAATTCCCAACAGCCTCTTCCCTCACTTTTGCGATTTAGTTGTTGCCGATTGCTGTCCATTCTTTTGATGTCTGGTGCCAATCACCGGTGTAATGTTTTTTGGTCTTTTACTTTAGCCTTCAGGATTCTAACCTAAGGCTTGCATTGCTGTGCAGCTTGATGATTTCCCGAAAGTGGTCTATCCACTAGGTATTTATAATATTTTATACCTGTGGGAGGAGAGTTAGTGAGTTGGAACAGAATGAAATGACTAGGCTGAGCTATTTGGATGAATGATACAGTGCCAGTTCGTCTAACAAAATTAATAAAATAATTGTGTAGGTATTACAGTTATCTTGGTCTAACCATAGTTTCTGTGTACTATAAAGCCTTTTCTTATCCAATACTTTACCACATGGGGTAAATGCTCCATGAAGTCTACACGTTTGACCGAGTAAACGCAACAATTGCTAATTAAAATTCACGTTAATAAAAAAATCGCGGAAAAACAGCTCAAAATAACCGAATAAATGCAGGTGCAGTACTTAGATAAGAACATAAAATTGGTCAACCTAATATTTGCAGATAGTGAATTCTTAGAAAAGTCTTATTTGATAGTCCAAAATAAAAGGACTTACAGGAGTGCATATTTGAAAATTAATACTATTGACTTAACAAAGACCTAGCCAATAGTCATTATGTTCTTTCCTACTTAATTATTTATTAAGCAGCCAGTGAGTGAATACAAAATTACGCAGCTGAAATCTCTGCTTAGTGATGTCAGGCTTTAGTGAGAAAATCTTGGATCTAGGTTTTTGGGGTAATTATCACTCACCACCGTGATCTACGTTAAATTTGATGGAACTTTTAGTTTTCTAAATACTAGGTATCTCCTTAACGCCTATTCCATTCAAAAATGCCATGTCTGGTCACATGTAAGATTTGATTAATTCCAACATTCCATTACTCGACTGTAACCGTCATGATTTGGTCTTGTCTTTCGTGCTGACTAAGATTTACCGATTGAAACCTTTTTGAAGCTAATATTTAAACAAAGTAATAAACGAGAATGTTTTTTAAGAAGCTCTCTTACAATTTTTAAGTAATTTTTGTATGTCACTAAAGACCAGGAAACAATGGACAGTCATTTTGTCCTAATTTAAGACTCATAATCCTTGTATGGCCAAGTAACCATATTAAAATACAGCCTTCATTTCTTGGTATAATCAGACCACCGCCCAGTCACTTGGCTGAAACTCAATTCTCTACGTCATTTGGTCTTCCGTAAAACATGATTCTCATCTAAGTTTAATGGATCTTTTTATGTGGAGTTATTAATATAAAATGAAGCTCTACCTATATTCATAATGTATAAGTGAATAAAATTTCTGCTAGTTATGAAAATATAAGTGTTGGCAAGATAAGTTGATGAGGTTTGTGAATGCTGCGATTACGTACAAATGTTAACTCGAACAAGACTGTTAACGAAATGAATGATGAGTATTCAGAGTAAATTTCACTGGATTATGGGTTTAAGAAAGAAAATATTTTAATGATTCTAATATAATTAAATCACGTGTTTGGGAAGTGATAATATGATTTGAAAAATGATAGGAGTTAGATGAAAATTGTAGGGAAGAATGATGTTGCTAATTTGTCTTAACCAAATTGATGTAAAGATATCTGAAACTGATGCCCTGTGAACTGCAAAAAGTAGTAAAGATATCTTAGTTAAACGATATGTAATGTTAACATTCATACATGACATAAAAGCTGAGCCAATGAATTACGAATCTTATTAACCAAGTTCCTAGAGTACAAATCCAATTTCATCAGGTTTACGTTGTAGAAAACACAAACTTTAGTTGGTCTTCTGAAAATAACCACAACCATACGCAGATAGAATTAGGTTTTTAATTTTTTGCTGAATGTCCGTCTTTTTAAAAATTCTACTTCGTTTAAAATAAAGCTTATTGATATGTAAGTAGTAAAACAGATAAGCATTTTGATCATTTATGTAAGCTTAGTAGAGAAATATTAATATACCAGTATATACGAAAATTAACTGCTTTAATGAAAAACACGAAAACTGGAAATAAAAAGAAGTGAATTCCTACATTTCATCTCAGTCATCCAGACATTCTGTCGTTTTTATTGACTAAATATGCTGTTTATTATTTTCAGTACTGCTGTTATCACTGTTTTTGAACCCTCTGGAGATATTTTCCCTAACTTATACTTTAATATCATCCCACTTTCGTCATTTTCACAATTTTTACATTTATGGGAAAAATTGTATTTATAGTTGTCTCTAAAGCCTACGATAAACTAATATAAACTTATTTTTGTAGTAACCATTCATTTCATTTATTTTCTTAAATCAATTTTTAAGAATCTCCAATAGAAATATTTTAATAAAAACAGGCTACTATTTGGATATGAGATGGATAAATTATTGTCATTCCATGAAAATCAATAACCCATTTTTTTATTGTATGTAAACATCAACCTAAGCTGTAACTAGATATCAATTAAAGTTAACCCTGTTTTGATAGGTACACTTGATTTTTATCTACTTTCAAAAAATGATCTAAAAAAATTAACTATAGTGTTGTTTAGACTATAAAAAAGACAGTGTAACTTTATCATTTTTGATAGCATTCTTTCATGTAACTGCTAAAATAATAATTGAAATTCACTTGTTTTTGTTTACTTGTATCTTCCCATTGTTACTTTGAAGTGTAATTGATCAGTCTCTTGTTGGCATATGTGCATCTTATGCGAACTGCCTCGATATTGCCTGAAATTACAAGGCCGTCCGCATAGGATGCACATATGCCAAGAAGAGACTGATCAATTGCAATGCTAAATAACAATGGGAAGATACAAGTAAACAACAACAAGTAAATATAACTTCATCCCATTGCACAAGCAAGTGGCTATCAGGACTCAGTAGCTGAGTTGATAACGCGATGGCGTTTGAAGCGAAAGGTACTGAGTTGGAGTCCCAGAGTGTACATCAACTTTGAGATGCAGGTACATACAGCTGACGAGTTCAAACTAGGACGAAACTCTCGTCCTGGATTCCACTGCTAGCCACTATCCATCTTTGCTAATAGTTGAAAATGATATCATACTGATTTCCCCAAAAAAACACAAAATGTGTTATTCAAACACGAATAGAAAGAAATCACTATCTTAAAAGTGAGCCTCCAGCCAGATCAAATCGAATCCCATTCACTGTAATTTATTGTCTACAAACATGTAGTTGGAAATAATAACTTTAGTTGCATTTCTACTTCATAAAAAGAAATTACATTCACTAACAGGAGTATAGCAGGGTAATGAAAAGAATTTTTTAAGTTAAGTTAAATTTTTACAAAACTCAGATGGAACAATGCGAAAATAGTTCA